CTCCAAAGCAGACAAAGAGCTGGTCTGAGATCCTGAAGCTCCACGTACATTCCACGTAAATGCGCAGAGTGCGAACGGGACAGAGCAGAGCGATGACTGGGTCTGCCTCCTCCCGGGGCAGCGCTTGCAAGTTCACCACCTGATCCCTGAAAGGCGTGGTGGGAACTTTGGGCACATATCCGGGCCGGGGTCTCAGGACAACGTGAGAGTTACCCGTCCCGAATTCTAGGCACGAATCGTCGACCGAGAATGCCTACAGGTCCCCTACCCTCTTGACCGAGGCCAATGCGGTGAGGAGCGCTGTCTTTACTGACAGAAACTTAAGCTCTACTGACTACAGAGGCTCGAAGGGCTCCTCCTTCAGGGCCGTCAGGACCGAGGGGAGATCCCAAGAGGGTAACATGTGAGGGCGTGGAGGATTTAACCTCCTTGCCCCTCTGAGAAACCTGATGACCAAGTCGTGCTTCCCCACAGACTTACCGTCTACTGCATCGTGATGCGCGGCAATGGCGGCAACATACACTTTCAGGGTGGAGGGAGACAGCCTTTGCTCCAACCCATCCTGCAGGAAGAAAGCATGACTGCGATCGGGCATCTACGGGGGTCTTCCCGGTGGGAAGTGCACCAACCGACGAACAGGTTCCACTTCAGCCTGTAAGCGTCGCAGCTGCATTTCCATTGCACATGGCACCCCAGCCCCTGGCGGAGGCATCTGTTGACACAACAACATGCCTGGATACTTGCCCAAGGGACACTACTGTCCGAAGAAAGGCAAGATCTGTCCACGGGCTGAGGGTCTGACGGCAGAACGGGGTAACAGAAACCCGGTAAGTGCCATGTCGCCATGCCCATCTCGGGACCCGGTCGTGAAGCCAACGCTGAAACGGTCTCATATGAAGCAAACCGAGCGGCGTGACAGCAGCTGCATATGCCATATGCCCCAGGAGCCTCTGAAATTGTTTCAGTGGAACCACCGTCTTGCACTGGAAGGACCCCAGGCAGTTCAGCATCGACTGTGCACGCTCTACTGAGAGACGTGCTGAGAGGTTGACCGAGTCCAGCTCCATGCCGAGAAAAGAGATCCTCTGCACCGGGGAGAGTTTGCTCTTTTCCCCGTTGACCCAAAGCCCGGGATCGGGCGAGATCCCAATTCGTCAGTCACAACTGACGTAACGTAGAACATGACTGACTGAAAGGGAACACAAAATTAATCCCTGCGGCTCCTGACGATACATTGAGGTCTTACGAAGCAAAATAATCAGACTGTGCAAGAAACTGAACATTATTTACAACATTATTACCAGTAATCCATAGTCTCAGGCAAACGGTCCGGAGTGATGTCCGGTTCACAAACGAATCATCCTTTTGAATCAGTTCTTTTTTGTGAACTAGATGAACCAGTTGACCAAATTGGATTGAAGCGTCTGAACCAGCTTGCGGCTTGAGCAGCACAGATCAACAAGTTACTCAATCAAAACTCACTTTTGGACGCCTGACAGTCACTCCAACTCAAAACAAACCAAAATACCAGCGTATCTGATCCTATGATATATGAATCATTCAGAGCTCCAGCCAACAGTCAATTTCTCTGGGTTTACGTAAAAAGGCGAGCTGATGAAGATGAGTCTATTCACTTTATATGTGTAACAAAGATCAAGGAGGCGGGAACCGGCGGCCATTCAAAGAAATTTTAATAAAATAAATAAACACAAAATAGCGCGACCGCCCCTCGCGGACGACTGTCGCGCACAAATGAAACCAAAACACAAAATAAACTCCAGGCCTGGTCCTCTCTCGTCTGACACTGTCGTCACTCCTCCCTTTTATCCTTCCGGAGCTCCTCCGTGAGACTCGAGACCGGTGAGTGGTGCAGGTGTCACTCATTATCAATTACTCCACCGGCCTCGCTCCGTTCCCACGGCTCTCGGCCCCGCCCCCACTCGTCACAATATGCTTTAGACATGTAAAACATCCACATTTCACATCATTACTGGGTGCTTTAATAATGTAATTGTGTATACTGTATGTTACATCATTGTGTGATTACATAAAAAAGTAGCGAATTGAACCAGTTGAAACAAGCTGTCCAAAAGAACCAGTTCGCGGAAAATAATCATATTTCCCAGAGGATTTGCCTCTGGATTACAGATAATAATGTTGTAAATAATGTTCAGTTTCTTGCACAAACTGATCGTTTCACTTCATTAGACCTAAATATACCATCAGGAGCCACGTGTATTAATTTTGTGTATCTTTATATGCTTTTTAATTCTCAAAAATGGGTTGCCATTGACTTGCATTATATGAATCACCAAGGACCACGGTTTCAGCTAAAAATCTTCTTTACTGTTTTCCTGAAGAAAAAAAAGTCATACATCTTGGATGGCCTGAAGGTGAGTAAGTAAATTAACAGCAAATGTTCATTTTTGGGTGAATTAGCCTATCCCTTTAACATCTTTATTTGGCCAGCAATTTTCCGGTGGGCCACATGAAACTGTGGATCACCATTCCTGCTCCGCCAGGTGCTGCAACCATGGCCTATATATCATGCAATGACATGTCATCTAACAATGCGTGTCGTGCCCTCGCTATCCCTCTGAGGCTCGTGATCGCCAGCAGAAGCTCATCCGTAAAGGGCCAGCAGAAAGTCATGGGGTACAAGGAGACTGTAATCGAGACCCGGAGTGAAAATGACATGTGTGTGACTGGGAATATCATGCGGAATCATGCTGGTGTTGAAAGTGGGGCGAGTTGAGAAGCTCGTGTTCACCTTGAAGCTCTTTTAAGTTTGCAAACATTCACGGCAGACCCCCTAACGGGAGCCTTGGGCTGTTCGTGAACAACTGAGGGAAGCTGGGAAGCTCACTGATATATTATTCAGTATTCAGTATGAAATTAGTATTCTTGCAAACAGGATTTAAAACTGAGAACCAGCTTTCATCATTACAACCACTAATAAAATATGATTACGTTTAAAATATAACTACCAGGGTTATTATAGTTAACTAAATCTAAAACTGAAACTAAACCATTAAAAAGAATTTAACCATTCAAAAGTGTATAAAAAAGATATTGTTCCAGATCCAATGATTTTTGGGGTGATTTCTGTACCTTCTTTTAGTACATATGAAAGACCGTGTATTTCTTTATTTATGGTTCTTGCAAAGAGATTGATTCTTCAGAGGTGGAAACTTGACATTGTTTCAACATTCGATGTGTTGCTGAGTGAGCTAGCGGGCATTATTCATATTGAGAAGTTACGATTTATTAACAGCTAGATATATTTTGGAAAATATGGAAGCCTGTATTAGATCACTTAGGAATGTGATAACTTTACTTATTTACGCTGGCTTTTATACTGCATTATACCTTTGTAACTCTTAAATTTATTTACCTAAATATTATTATCTTGTTATTGTAGTATTTTTTGTATTTACTTATTTTTGTTATTTTTTCCTCACACCCTGCTGATGTTATCGCTGTGATCTAACGTGATCTCATGATAACTCGTATGTATTTCACGTAACACGTGGTTCTATAAAACTTACATTTACTTAAGTTTTTACAGGCACTAAAACGTACAATACTGACGTATTTTCTGCATCTGAACGTACAAATACTGATGTATTTTCAGCATCTAAACGTACAAATACTGACATATTTTCAGCATTTAAACGTACAAAATTGACGTATTGACGACACCTAAAAATTAATCCTTATGAATATTGAAATCGCAGCATCAATTTTTTAAGTTTTTAGTTGCCATATGAATTAGTTTGTTTTCAATTGCATTATTAAATTGTTTACTTATGACACTTCGTTTTGTTGTGTGATTTCTGCTGCCAGCTCGTTTCCAAGAATATGCCTACATGTTAAACAAGACTTCACTTTAAACCTTAAAATAAATAACATTTCTGCAATCGTTTAACCTTTACTTGTCATACAATGTTTACTTTGATTGTCATGGGCCACAAAAGGCGTTTTTTCCCAACATGCTGTGACTAACAATAGAACTATAAAATACACCAAAAACTCAACATAATTACGAAATGAAACAATTTTATTCGTGCGCTGTAATCCAAATCTTCCGAATCCATACAACTGTGAGGAACAGACCCAAATCCAAGCCTTTATTCGGCGATCTTCTTCTCCATCCCGAGCAGCAAGTCCAGTGACCGTGAGCAGCAAAGCCCGCGCTGACTGACGCGCTCTTTACAAATTCAAATGTTGCCGCTTCAAACGACAGGTTTTACGGCAGGATAATCGAATGCTCATTGGCTCTCGCCTGCATTCGTCACAGATTGTGACATGCAGTGTTTCTGGTGAGGTGTGTTTGAATAATGCGCGCGCGCCTTCACGAGTTCACGGAGTGGATCGGGGAAATTATCTGGATAATATTTTCAGCGATTAACAACATAAATTCTGCTCTGGATCACACAAACCTACTGTATTCCACCAGAGAGGACTGCGGGTGCAACGCATAATTTGGATTACATTTGGTGCTGCTTTTGACATTTTTGCAATAAATAAATGATTGTAATTGCATTTATCTGTCTGTCATGGTTTTTATACTGTACAGATATGTTTAGGTTTATAAGTAGGAGTGGGATTAGAGACTATACAAATATTTTAATGCTATATTGTTACTAAAATGGTTATTTTCCTGCATATTTCGGTCATTTGCGTTTTATATCCTTTTATATTCGCTATAAAATGGGTAGGTTAAGGTTTGGGGGTACACGATCAAGTCCAGAAACGTAGCAAGGAGATTGGTCAAATAATGTGACATCAGTGGTTCAACCGTAATGTTATAAAGTTACGAGAATACTTTTTGTGCGCAAAGAAAACAAAAATAACGACTTTATTCAATTCGTCTCCTCTGCGTCACTCTATAGTGCCATTTTGGAGGATATCACATATGTAAAAGACGTATGCAATGTATGTACGCGGATACGTTGTTTACGTTCAGATCAAAGTGTAAATGACGCAAACGACGTATCCGCGTACGGTGCTGCTGACACAGAACAGCATACGTTGTTTACGTATGTGATACTCTCCAAAATGGCGCTATACGGTGATGCGGAGGAGACAAATTGTTGAATAAAGTCGTTATTTTTGTTTTCTCTGCACACAAAAAGTATTCCCGTAGCTTCGTAAAATTACAGTTGAACCCCTGATGTCACATGGATTATTTTACCGATCTCCTTGCTATGTTTCTGAGTCTTGATCGTGTAAGGATCCTTGCTGTCTATGGAGGGTCTTTGATGTAATGCATCAAAAATATCTTAATTTGTGTTCCAAAGATGAATGAAGGTCTTATGGGTTTGGAACGACATGAGGGTGAGTAATTAATGACAGAATTTTCATTTTTGTGTGAACTAACCCTTTAATGAAGTCTAACCTGAACTCAAAACTGTAAAATACAATAAAATCTAAATATTTCAAACATACAATATTATGGAAAATATTATGGAAAAATATATAAAGGTTAAACTAAAATTAACATTACAAAAACTCAAAATTAAATAAAAACAAAGCTAAATGACTAAAAATCTAATTAAAACTAAAATGAAAACTAAAAATAAGAGCTAATTCAAAACATTAATAAAACCTATAATAGTATATAATAATACAAAAACATCACTGATGGCAATTAGAACCAAAACCGCTGACGGTGAGGACTATGGTGTGGTTGTGAGGCATTATGGAACATCGGGGGGTCCCTCAGCAGGTTCCTCATATGAATTTGATCAAAGCTTTATGAAGGACCATCACTCCTCTTTCATTCGCAAGTCATTTGCAGTCCACTCTCCGTCTGCCTCCTAATGATGAGTCTCCTATTTGTAGTCATTTCGGGAAATTCAACGACCTACTTGCCGGGGTCACGCGCAAAATGAACTAGACAAGCATCTTTGAAGATTATGATAATAGATCTGAGGAGAGAAATCTGGATTGTCTTGAAATTCACTAGCACGGATCCTCATCTCATTATCCTCTTGCGTGGCAGCCTGTATCAAAAGCGTGATAAAAATACACAGCAGATAACATTAGCATTGTATATTTCCACGCATAATATCCGTTGTCCTTTTTTTTCCCTGCTAAAAGATAGCATATTGGCCGCGTCTTTGAAACGCAGGCTGAATAACACTGAGGGAACGTTCTGTTCCAAAGCGCAGAGAATTCGCCGGCATGCACACGCTGATGCCTTCGGGTGGAAAATGATAGCTTTTTTGCTGCACGCAGGCGATCTGAAAGGCCCGACGGCGACTCAACGTACTGCGGAGCGGCTTCGCCTGGGAAAAGCAAATTCATGCAAATGAGTTTATCTAGGAGCCGTCGAGTCGTGCATTCAAAGGTGTGTTTACCGCTAACAAATTGAAACGTGGAGTTAATAGTAGAGTTCTCGCTCGCTCCCAGACAGACGCTCGCTTTTCCCAAAGAAAATATGGACAGAAACAGCCGACTTGTCTGCGAGAAAAAAAAACAAAAAAACAAAAACAAAACCAGCTGTGAATGTTTTATGAGCGGATCTTTGAGCGCCGTTGCTGTATGTAGAAGGAAATAAACACATTCATTATGAAACACACGTTATGGCCTTTAAACCGGTGGAAATTATGGCTAAGTGGGAGTTTAGTAGGATACTGGGGCAGGTTGATGATCCATGATAACCTTAACAACACATTTAACCCTATAAAGCCTATTTTTGAAGGCATTTAAATAACAAAATGATAAAAACTTTGCTGTTAAAACCTGTACACACAATGTCTGTCGTCTGATTGATAGTTCAGACTTTTTTCTTTTAGTATAATTGTACAAGCGTCAACCTTCAGCTCGTGGTTCACATGTGTTTTTGCTGTAAATCTTTACTGATTTTTATAAAGTAAATGAGAGAATAACTTATATTTTAATGGACTGAAGCGACCTACTTGATTATCCAGAAAAGTCAGTCTAAAATATGATCATCAGGCTTTTGAGGAGCATTTATTTGTTCATCTCTCAATTATCATTGTATTGCATTGCATTATATGTTTTGATCATCAAACTAAGCATTTAAATATCATCTCAAGACCTATTATTGGAGATAGATTGATGACTGATATTTCTATCATTTTATGTATACAGTCTATTATATCTCCTTAATCAGAATTGCTTACTTTTGTCTATATAAAGAAAAATATCTGCACCATATTGCATATTTTTGCAAACACTGTTTTTTCCTCCATATTCTCAAAATATCATACTACATGAGCAATAAAAGCATGATGTATCAAATTTGATACTCAACAAAAAAAAAACACATATGCAAATTTCTTTTAAATATGGTCTAAAAGTTTGCATTAAAAAAAATGGACTATTATGTGTCATAATAAACTATCATATGTCAGGCTTTATAGGGTTAAAAGACCCATGACACGACAATCAGCAGACCACGGAAATCAACTGAAAATCGATGAATTAATCTAAAAATGAACTCTATGAACGTAAAAACAGAGGCAACAACACATCAGTTCCCTTCAAGACACTTCATTTTGCTTTAGTCCCATTGTTTCTTACAGAAATGCTGTAATTGCTCAAAACAACATACTAAACAAATGACTGGATTTTCTGGAACGTAAGTTGCTCTGTTTTAATCATTACATCAAGCCCACACTGCACACATATGTTTACAAATAAAAAAATTGCTTTGACAGCCATTAACTAGTTAATTAGTTTGGAGCATTACTGCAATTAAGCTATTGAGATTTAGGGGAGTAGTGTTTTAAGTGGCCTATTCAAAGTAAGCATTTATAGTGTTTGTAATGTTTCTACTTCTGTTTGTTTCTCATTCTGTTCTATTTTTTTTAAATGTTTTTGAAAGAAGTCTCTTATGCTCACCATTTACTTGATAAAAAAACAGTAAAACAGTAAAATTGTGAAATATTTTTACACTTTCAAATAGCTGCTTTTCTATTGGACTATACAGGTGCATCTCAATAAATTAGAATGTTGTGGAAAAGTTCATTTATTTCAGTAATTCAACTCAAATTGTGAAACTTGTGTATTAAATAAATTCAATGCACACAGACTGAAGTAGTTTAAGTCTTTGGTTCTTTTAATTGTGATGATTTTGGCTCACATTTAACAAAAACCCACCAATTCACTATCTCAACAAATTAGAATATGGTGACATGCCAATCAGCTAATCAACTCAAAACACCTGCAAAGGTTTCCTGAGCCTTCAAAATGGTCTCTCAGTTTGGTCCACTAGGCTACACAATCATGGGGAAGACTGCTGAACTGACAGTTGTCCAGAAGACAATCACTGACACCCTTCACAAGGAGGGTAAGCCACAAACATTAATTGCCAAAGAAGCTGGCTGTTCACAGAGTGCTAT